GGGGGGGGGGGGGGGGGGCCCGCGGGGGGGAAGCGGCCCCCCCCCCCCCCCCCAACCCCCAACCCCCATTGGGCCCTTCAGCGGGTCCCGAAAATTTTTGGTCTTTTAGAAGGCGAATGGTGCCATTTGGTACGGTTTAGAACTATCATCCAACTAGTCAAAATTATAATTTCAAGAGGGGAATATTGTTGTGAAATATTTTTCAGAAACCTAAATCCGCCACTGTACATGTACAAAACAACTAAGAATCTTGAAAACTAATGGAGCTCATAAAGGTGTTACATAAATAAAAATAAAATTGTAATGATGATAATAAAATCCTGAAATTTGAGATATGAAAATGAAAACCTGCATGGATATAGAATTTCATTTTACTGTATACGCTTTAAATGATTTTTAAGTAAACTTCATACTCAAGTAGACCCTATCCTAATAGCAGTACTTGTGCAAATGCATAAAAACATTTCTTTATTACCATGGAAAAACAAAACCAAATGCACAAACACGAATAAGTTGTTGATGTTTTCCTGTTATATGCAATTTATGTTTGCAAATCTCTCTTTTTTTTCTTACAACAGTCCAAATAAAGAAAATGTTTTTCTCATCTGATTTGCTTATGTCCTGTCCCTTATGCAAGTTATATATTGGCAACGGAATTTTTTTCAACATGGCAGTTATGTAGAATTTATGCCCACTTTTGAAATACATAGAGTCTGTGACGTGCCTGAGAATCATTCAAAATGTCATATTCATTATTGATACTTCATTATTGATAGTTTCATCCAGTTTCTTCCCTGAAAACTACAACTCAATTTATCATTGGTGTGGCCTTTGTGCGTTAGTGGTAGTCCGTTACAAAATTATAGTGTCACAACTGAATTTTGTATATTATTTTAGCTTCCCCTATATCAAAGAGCAGATGAATTTTTAAAGATCGACCTATCCCATCCCATCTCACGCTACGTTTCTCAAATATAAATCTATTATTTTTCTGCGAAACCAACTGCTGTTTATTCGGAACTCGGAGAATTAAAACTAAAGTTAGTTCACTTTAAGAGGTTTACATGCAATGGCATTTAGTAATAGGCGAACATTGTAACAAACCTTGCAAAAACACTTGTACATGTAGGTGGAGTGGTTTATGACGTTTCGCTCAGTTTACACTCATAAAACGAAAAGACGGGAAACTTGGGATAAGATCAAAGGGCTCCAAAAATTTGGGTATTTTAGAGGGCGAACGAAGCCATTTGGTACGGTTTAGAACTATAAATCAGCTAGTCAAAATTCTAATTCCAAGAGGGGAAAATAAGCGTGATCTGACCCCCCTCCCCCTCTAAATCCGCCACTTTATTTAAACGGGAAGAAAAATGAAATATATGCTACCGAAATAGACACAGGTACGGGGGGGTACATGTACATGTATGACGAATACAATGCACATCACGTTATTAAGTTTAGGCCTAGTCGATATAATATCTAACTTGCACGGATTTCATGTAGAATGTCCGTATTGTAATATTCTACCATCGGACCACATCATATTCGAGTGTCACCTTCATGTTTAAATAATCTTCATTTACCCCTGCCATATGATACATGTACTTGTACATGTAATAAAACACGGATATATGCACGAACGCTTTTGTTATGTACGCCAGTAGCTGAATTTATAAAATTTACTTGATGATTTATAATATTTTTATGCAGTTATCCTTACGTTTACATAACTTGGCATTAAAACCATCAGCCAGTAAACAGTTTCACTGACATCCATAGCCCCTGCTACATCTAAAGCGTTTTTTCCATAGTCATCGGCCTGTTGCCGTTGTAAGAAAACGGGTGTCCGTGTAACAGAAAGTACGCCCTCTATTTAGTAATAATGGTTAGGGTTAGCCTGGCCTAAGTGGGTCAAAATTTAGGGCGAGGCTTGCCTGTATGTGAATGGATAGCGGACTGTCTAATATTGGGGACTCCCTGTCAAGTTACATGCATTACCGGCGTGACAAAATGATAAACTATATCCACTGCACTGAATTCTGAACAAATAGAAACTGCTCAGAATGTTAATGCCTTTCAATATGCATGAAGTTATTATTATTACTATATATTACCATTATTAGGGACCTATTATTATTATTATTATTATTATTATTATTATTATTATTTTAGTTCTTAGATGGACATTCCCAATTTCACCAAACTTTAGAATAAAGGTAGGTACACTTCATGGGTTTCAAAATCTCCGAAATGCTAACTTTTGCCATTCACTGCGTGAAAATGATACCTGATATTGATATTTCCATTGGAGCTATAAAAGGTCGACCATCGATGTTATAATGATTGGCCGGTCATTTTAAGCTAAAATCAGCCTTTACAAATTTTATCAAAGGTCGAATGCAAATGCAGAGAGGGATAGATAAATGATTCTTGAGTACTAGAATACTGCTTATTTTTCCGGGGAAATCCACTTTGGCGGGTAAGTCCGATGAAGCATAATATATTGCGGATAAGGAAACGGCAGCATCGATGGTAATTAAACTCCCATTCGTACTCAAGACAAGACACAGCAGCCTGAAGGTGTCTTACCTACAAAGTAACTCGGGGTTTGTACAACACATCACGTTGACCTTAACGTATAAATAAACTTTATTGAATTAATTTTATCGTGTGGCTTAATTATAAAAATCAGAATTTGGCAGACATTAGGATTTTAAAGGTATTAAAGGTCTCCTAGTTAACGACAAGGGAATCGTTCATACAGCATTTTTACAGAGTAGTTTCCCCACCCGAGGCAATTGCCCACCTCTCTCCCCGACTTGGTACCAAGTTTAGGTCAATTTTGATTATGTTTTGCAACTAGAGGGGGATCTTTTTTCTACAGATTGTGTTAGAATGATTTGGTCGTAGCTGTGAACAAAGAGGTTTGAGTGACACTGCCAGCACTAATTATGGTAAGCTTCCCTTTCCCCCTCCCTCTCTCTCTCTCTCTCTCTCTCTCTCTCTCTCTCACACACACACACACACACACAATTTTCTAATGAAATTTCTATTAATGCAATGACAATGACATATATATATATATATATAAGGAAAACTTTCCATTGCTGTGCTCATCATATTACAGTAACATCATTTACATCTACCACTGAATAGCTTTAGTTGATCTTCGTGTGCGTGTGTGTGTGTGTGTGTGTGTGTGTGTGTGTGTGAGAGAGAGAGAGAGAGAAAGAGAGCGAGCGAGAGAGAGATTCATGGAGAGGAGAGGTCTGTCAAAGACCTTAATTTTTTTTTTTTTTTTTTTTTTTTTTTTTTTTTTTTGCATATAATAATATGTCTTCTTTCACCTTCAGGGAACTCCAGTCAAGGATGTGGAGTTAAAAGACAGTGCACCCCAGAACCTGCTGTTGGATAAACATGTGGCTTACATAGAAGCTTACAGTGCAAAGAAAGATGAATATGTATGTGGTTATATATGCAATGCTTGCTAAAATACATTATATGTCAATAATTATAAATTATAAATTCTATGCACGGTGCTTTAAGAAGGTTTATTTTTATGGATATTTTATTCTTCCACCATTGAAGGAGATTTGTATGTGTGTGTGTGTGTGTGTGTGTGTGTGTGTGTGTGTTGTTGTTGTTGTGTGGGCAAGATCTTATAAAGTACTAGTGCACATATTTTGATGAAATTTTTGAGACTGACAGTAAATTATATAAAATAGAAGTGATTGCAATCCCAACTGTATAAGGTTTTCCTTATAATTCTATTTCATTTTATTTTATTACTATTTAATAAATATTCCCTTGGTGGTGGTCTCTGAGTCCTGTCAATTTGTGAAATTTTTATAATTATTTTTTTCACTGAATTTATGATCATCCATGTGACTATAATATTGCATATATTTCTAATCATAGGAGTACGTCATGACAGAGTACCTGAGAATGAGTGGCATATACTGGGGGCTGACCGTGATGGACTTGATGGGCAGTCTGGACAGAATGAGCAGGGAAGAGGTGCTGGACTTTGTCAAAGGATGCCAACACGAGTGTGGTGGGTTTGGTGCCAGTATTGGCCATGATCCCCATCTGTTATACACACTAAGTGCAGTCCAGGTGAGTTTATAATTTTAACTTATTTACTTACACAAGTATTGGTGCCAGTATCGGCCGTGATCCCCATCTCTTATATAATTTCACTTTGTGCGGTTTAGATGATATTATAACATATTTGGAATAAAAATTCTGTTTGACAATGAATTAATTTTCAAAATTGTATCAAAATTGCATCTTGTCAAGGAGTTTGAGTGATAGCTTGCAGTGCAGGAAATGCAACATGTTTTGAATTCATTAATTCTTACCATTTTTAACAATTAATTTGTGCTCGTAGACTATAATTCAGTTTTATAAGCAAAATAATAATATTAATAGCAAACATTTAAAAGCTATTTGGGTTTTATTTTCCAGATTTTATCCCTGTATGATGGAGTGTCTTCTGTCAATGTAGAAAAAATAATAGAATTTGTATCCAGCCTGCAGCAGCCAGATGGCAGTTTCTATGGGGACAAATGGGGTATTAAAATCTAGGGTTATAATACCTGGCCACATTTAAACATACTTTTTTGAAGTTGAATTCATAATTATCATATTTAGGATAAAAACTGCCAGTTGGTGAGTTTTCACCTCAGGTTAGTTTTTTAATGGTGTTCCATTGATAAGTTGGAGAAAATTATTTACAATAATATCTCTGCAGCTATCCTATTAAGTTCACAAAATTTATGTTTTCCAGCAAAGGACACACATAGGTTAATTGTTCACTTGCAAATATGAAAGAATCGTGGTACTTTGCTCAATTTAGAATTCAAAATGTTTGTCAAATGGTGGAGTGGATATAACTTAGGTACAGGCACTTTAATATTTTCAGTTATTTTTCACTTATTTGTTAAACCATTGTACATTCAATACTGGTTTGTTTTACAGGTGAGGTTGATACACGGTTTTCTTTCTGTGCTGTAGCATGCTTAGCACTTCTGGTGAGTCGCGTCTTGTGAAAAAAAATTACAGGATTGGCATTTTAAACTGATTTTTACTAAAATGACTAGGTACAAGTAGTATTTCAACCTGTATTTCTCATTCTGACTCTTTTTTTTAAGAAATGAGGAATGCTGATTTAGTTAATTCAATCACATCCTAAATCAAGATTTGATACAGTATTACAATTATTTTGATTATGTACTCTATTTCAGAAAAAGATTGATGCCATCAATGTTGACAAGGCAGTCAATTATGTGCTCTCATGCATGAACTTTGATGGTGGATTTGGCTGTAGACCAGGGAGTGAATCCCACTCTGGACAAGTAAGTAATAGACACCTTGTTTGACTAACTGGCCATTCATATGTGACTTCCATGTTTGAGATTCTGAGAACAAAAAACCCAAACATGGTGCATCTTAGGTTGCATTCACAGTGAAACTATGGTAATATGTAGGGGACTCTCACTGAATGCAATCACATTAACAGATCAACACATGGCAGTTTAAATGATTGGAAGTATGACCTTGGAGACTGGGTTCAAGATATGACTAAGGGACGTTTTCAAACGTGGATAGTTTATCTTTAACTAATTTATCTAAGGTGGGTAATTACTTTGTGTATATATTTTTCTGCTCAGATCTACTGCTGTGTTGGGATGCTGTCCATATTGAACAGACTCCACCATGTGCAGGCTGACATGCTGGGCTGGTGGCTGTGTGAGAGACAGCTGCCCTCTGGTGGCTTAAATGGTAGGTTCCTTATGTGTGGAGTGAGAATGACTTATGGCGTCAAAAAGGGTAGTCTGAAAAAGGCACTCTTTGTAAATATAGGAAAAAGAAATTGTTTTCCCTGGATATGTTGTTACTATTCTTTTATCCCTTCAAGGTAAACCACAGCCAAAACCAATGACAAAATTAGCAATAGCATTTATACATTCATTTTTCAGTTCTAAGTTACTTAATTCGAGTATCTCTTTTAATGGAGATAGAGACTTGTATATTATATTATATTCTGACTATATATGAAAAAAAGAAATTTTTGGAAGAAGTTTAAGTTGTAGTATTCTCAGTATTTTTGGATTGTGTATACCTTGATTAAGGGGAAGTTTTAAGTTTCAAGTTTCATGAAAGGTCATAATTTTGCTAAAGGTTTCAAGCAGGCTACTGAAATCAGAGACAAGTAGATGAATTTTATGTCATGGTTTTATTTTGACTTTTCATTCTAGGTAGACCAGAGAAGCTGCCCGACGTATGTTATTCATGGTGGGTTCTAGCATCTTTGAAGATAATAGGCAGACTCCACTGGATAGACAGGGATAAACTGGTCAGATTTATACTGGCCTGTCAAGATGAAGAGACAGGAGGGTTTGCAGATAGGCCAGGAGATATGGTTAGTGGAATATTGTGTACATAATTCAGGTCACATTTATATGAATAAATTATGTACCTTATTTGAATTTTTTAAAAATTACCTTGGGAAGATAGTGGTTAAAGACACACATACACACACTTACACACACACACGCACATACTTACACATACATACACACACACACACACACACACATATTTATAGTGTAAGTACAATAAAATATTAAAAGACATATTAGAATCGGTTAAAATTAAAACTTAATGAAAATACTCTAATAAGTTCAATTTGAATTTAAGTGTATTTATATATTTATGTTCTAATTGTAATTCCAGGTGGATCCCTTTCACACCTTGTTTGGCATAGCAGGACTGTCTCTGCTGGGAGAAAGACAGATCAGAGGTGTTAACCCAGTGTTTTGTATGCCAGAGGACGTTATAAAAAGGATAGGAGTGTCCATGCAGTTACTGTAATTGTTGATGTCATCATAACCGTGAATGTCATTGTTAGAAAAGAGATAGGGGTGTCCCTGCAGTTATTGTAATTGTCATATTTTAACTGCTTCTGAAGGACAGGCCTAAGCTGTAAAACCTGATTCTCAGTAACACAGGTCGTTACAAAAACTTGTGGTGATTGCATGGTCTAATTGTCATGCATCTCATGTGCTGTAGTAGTTAATACATACAATGTAGTTGTTGTGTAAGTGATGAAATATTGGAAAAACTATGTCAAAACTCTTGGATAGTATAACAGTGAAACTAGGTTACATTCGTTTAAATAAGTGAACACTGGGGGTAAGGGGCATATTTAGTAATAATAAGGACCTATTACAACAAGAACATATACCTAAATATCAAAACAATTTTCTGCAGCGATCCCGTTCAGTTCCATTAATAGCCATTCCAATATTCGAGTCAATTATTGCCATAACTTTAGTATGGCTGATATAATGCAGTCATGGTTTAACATATTTACAGGTCAAGAAAAAGAAATACACAAATAAGAACAGTTTGTGATTACGATGGTTTTATTTACACATTTACAGTTAAATTTTTTAGGCCAATGGATATGCAATAATGATATAAGAATTAAAGGATAATTGATGTTGATGATGGATCAGTATTGACAATATAATTGTACCACAGATGCTACATATAAAACAAGTTACCTGCATGATGTCTGATAATAAAGTTAAAATGAACAAAATTAAATATTCTTTAGTTCAGCATACATGTCTGCCATGCTTTGGCGTGAATTTTATTTCTTCAGAAAAAAAAAAAATTACAAAAAGAGTCTTTATACAGAATGAGTCATTGCACCATGATGATATATTTAAGCTTCATACTTTGGCTGTTGATATCCCACGTACTCATCCCAACCCTTTCTACACGTTTTCACTATCCAGTCATGTTCATCATCATCTGGAAAAGAAAGATTATCAGGTGTTTATAATGTTATGTTCTGATATCTTGGAAAAATAAACTTATATTAACAAATGATCAACAGTTGGTCCTGATGCCTTAGTTAACAGGGTGACATCCATAATTAAAGAAGCAAAGACGAATAAATAAGTAGAATTAAGTGATGATCATATGCCTTTGTAACCTTCTATCCTGTTTTGGACCTGACAACCCTCACCTGCATTTCGAAGAAACTTGTGATTGTAGTCTATTACAACTCTTGTGACTGGGTTATAAAAGCCGTCCCCACAGTCGTAACAGCCCTCGGGTATGTCCCTAGGTGGAACTCTGTTCGTCAGTTGAGATCGGCCTAAAATTAAAAAAGAGATAGTTTTGTCTTATCAAGGTGAAAATACATCTCCATCTGTTTAGTTTTGTCTTATCAAGGTGAAAATACATCTCCATCTGTCAGTCAAAAAAGTGTGGCCTTCTTCCTAATGATTTACAAATTAACATTTCAATGTGTTTATAGATTCTGTCTATCTCAAGAAAGGAAAACCAAAATATCAGTGGCAACTTTGGAAGAAGTGGCTTTACTCCATTTATAATGATCACAGGGACATAGATGTGAAGAATATGAACATCCTACTAACTGTGTGAAGCAGTTTTCCTAAAAAAAAATGTCAAAAAAAAAAAGATTGAAATGGGCATACCAGCAGGCTGAAGTCCATTACAAATTTCTGTATAAAACCTCCTGTCATATCCATCACAGTATTCCCAGTCTTCCTCATCAAACTCCAGACCATCAGCAAAGGTGTACTTGCCCTAAAAACAAAAACAAAGAAAAAATCTCCTGTATTTTAAAACAAAGTAATCATGCTGTTCCAGCATTTGCTCATCATTACTTTAATCGGTACAATCATTGTATAAGCAAGTTAATACTAAGAAGTTTAAAGGGATAATAACTCTTTGTTTTGTCCAAAAAATGAATTTTCCTGGAGTACACTGTACAATTTTCCCATACTTACCAATGGTTAATGAATCCATTTTTACATTCAAAGTTAGTCACTGGGTTTTTTATTCTAAAAAGTTTTTTTTTTTTTTTATTTGTTATAATCTCTTAAGAGATTATAACAGAGTATAGCCATCACTGGAAGTCATGTGGTCTAAAGACAAGCTCAGATATCAGAATAATAGTATAACTGCTGTTTTTGTGGTATAACAGAATATGTTATATTTCTGAGTTGTTCACAATGTTTTTATTGTGAGATATAGATGTTATGTGAAGAGTTATTATCCCTTTACGTTTCAATATTACGTCAAAAATACATTACATTACATGTACTGGTACCTTGCTTTTTAATTTCAATTAAATTCTACATCTTGTATTTAAATTTAACAAGTTTCATATATTGTAAGTGGCTGATATGAATTATTGATATTTCTGTTAAGTTAACAAGTGCAACTTTGTACAGGGTCAGAAAAAGAGGATGGGGTCATCATATACACCTTGTGCTAATATTTCCTTAGCATTATAACCGTCAAGTCTTCTATTTATGTTTCTCTCTCTCTCTCTCTCTCTCTCTCTCTCTCTCTCTCTCTCTCTCTCTCTCTCTTTTCATTGGTCTATTTATTTACATTGCAGAGTGCTTGCTAGCATTTCAAGAAAAAAATACATACTAAGAGAAAAGGCAAGAGCATTGCAATTTCCTTTTTTTTTTTTTTTCATGCCACCGCTTGAATACCATGATTTTGTGTGGCAACCAATCTACTACTGCATGTACTGTACCAGTAAAGCTGCACTGTTATCACATCTAAAAAAACTCCCCACCTGTGTAGCTACTCCGTTCTCCCAATCTGCCACAAATTTGCTTCCATTTGGGAAGAAGAGTGTCCCCTTGCCATGGAACATACCATCCTTCATGTCACCTTCATATCTGGTCTCAGTAGGGAAAGTGTATTTCCCCTTTCCTTCCAAACTGAAAAAAAAGTAATTGCACTGGTTATATAATAGAAATATGTAAATCTTATAATAAATTGGGACTCAAAGTAATGAAATTATTTCATGGGAATACTTAATGGAAAAAAATCAGTTTGCTAAATTTGAGATAAAATATACCATATAAGACAAAAACAATTATATTTATTAGGTGTCCTATCAGCACAGCAAGTTTTTTTTACTATAACACTAGTAAATAAATGAATAAATAAATGCATATACAATTTATAAATGCTTTCTGGGAAAGCTGACAAAGAGTATTAAACTGAAATCATTTAAGTAAAAAACACGCAAAACATTTTAAAGAAGTTTTCTCTTATCTGTTTTTTTTTTTTTTTTT